GGGTCATTTATGGGGGGGGGGGGTGCCATTAAAAAGGTTGTTGAATTCTGTTTTAAAAATTTTGGCGGATCTAGGGAGATAGCTGTCTGTATATTTTTAATATACTAGAGTAACACATTGGTACGATTTGGCCATGTGATTATTTAAGAAGTTGGGTTTGTGGGCAAAGGTTTGTCCGGGTTCTATAGCTTATGCGCTATGTCTTGTTTTTGGGGTTTGGCAAGACTGTCTGGTATATAAGGTGGGGCTCGTGGGGGGTAGGGGGGGTTTGTTTAAGCAAGCTAAATACTTGCTAAATGCGTGCCTACACGTGTACGTGTGTGCGTACGTGGGTGTGTATGCGTACGTGTACGTGTACGTGGGTGTGTATGCGTACGTGTACGTGTACGTGGGTGTGTATGCGTACGTGTACGTGTACGTGGGTGTGTATGCGTACGTGTACGTGTACGTGGGTGTGTATGCGTACGTGTACGTGTACGTGGGTGTGTGCATGCGCATGCGCATGTGTACGTGGGTGTGTGTTGTAGTTATGTCCTGTAACCATGGACTGAATAGCACCTTTATGGTTGTATGATGCGGGTAAATGATATTTATTAAGTCCAGCTTCAATTGATTTGACTGCGACGGGGCCTCAGACGGCCATAGCGGAGTCCTTGCAAGTTCCCCCCCCCAAATTATAAAAATACCAAATGCATGACACCACAGTTATGTGTGAGCATGGGCTGATTAATCATTAGTCCATCGAGATGTCTTATTTAAGAAGAAAATGTTGGCGATTTTAGGTGAGATGGTCCTGAAGTAAGAACCAGATGCCTGATAAAGTCAATCTTAGAAACCCCCACATGTTATGGTCCCGGAGCGAGAAGAGGGGAACCTTCCGAGCGGGTTGCTTGTTTCACGCGGCCTGGTGATCAAGCTCGTGATCTAGGGGGCGGGATCCGCTTGGTGACTGGAAATGATTTTGTAGGCATGTGCCATGTACTATAAAGAACTAGCATGTACCATGTGGTGCTAACAGTTCACCAGTACATGCTTATAAGCATGTACTAAATAGTGTAATGCACGATTATACATAATATGTCCTATGTACGATTATACATAATATGTACTATTGTATGTGGTAGAGCAATAATGCACGATGTACATAGCTATGTATGTATGTACATTTAAGATTATAGTACTAAGTAAGTACTTTATAACCTTGTAGGTAGTACATACAAGGAAATCAGGGAATAGTTTATCTAGAATTTCAGCTTTGGGTGTGATGGTGGAGTTGAGTCTCTTCCTTGAGTCTCAGGGAGGTGTGTCGCTTCCTTTTTCGGCTTACAAGACCGGGGTAATGTCATATACTACAGAGACTCTTCATTTTAGGAGTTTGTTTTCGATAATGCCTGCTACGGGCATTAGTACTAAGATTAAGAGGAAATATAGGATTGAGGCGACTTGTCCGATGATGATGAAGGGGTGTTCGACGGGTTGTCCTCCAATTCATGTGAGTGTTAGTAGGTCGGCGATTAGTGCTCAAAACAGGCATTGGCTGAGGGGTCGAAATATTAGGCTTCGTTGTTTGGATGTGTGTAGTATGGGGATTAGGGCCAGGATTAGGATTGAGAGAGCTAGGGCTAGGACGCCTCCTAGTTTGTTGGGGATTGATCGGAGAATCGCGTACGGCAACAGGAAATATCATTCTGGTTTAATGTGTGGTGGTGTGCTAAGGGGATTTGCGGGGGTGTAGTTGTCTGGGTCCCCTAGGAGGTCTGGGGCAAATAAGGTTAGTGTGAGTAGTGTTGTTATTAGGAGTAGAATACCTAGGATGTCCTTGATTGTGTAATAGGGGTGGAATGGGATTTTGTCTATATCCGAAGAAATTCCTGTTGGATTGTTGGAGCCTGTTTCGTGTAAAAATAGTAGATGTACTCCTGCTAGAGCTGCAATGACAAAAGGTAAGATAAAGTGGAAGGCGAAGAATCGTGTAAGGGTGGCTTTGTCTACGGAGAATCCTCCTCAAATTCATTCGACTAGTGTTGTGCCAACATATGGAATTGCCGAGAGTAGATTTGTAATTACTGTTGCCCCTCAAAATGATATTTGTCCTCATGGAAGTACATAACCCATAAAAGCTGTTGCTATGACTGTAAATAATAGGATAATTCCAATATTTCAAGTTTCTAGGAAGGCGTAGGAGCCGTAGTAAAGCCCACGACCTACGTGGATATACAAGCAGATGAAGAATATGGAGGCACCATTGGCGTGTAGATAACGAATAATTCAGCCGTAATTTACGTCTCGGCAGATGTGTGCGACTGAAGAGAAGGCTGTTGTTGTGTCTGATGTATAATGTATTGCTAGAAATAGTCCTGTCATGATTTGCATAATCAAGCAGATTCCTAGGAGGGAGCCGAAGTTTCATCATGATGAGATGTTAGAAGGGGCTGGAAGATCAATAAATGCGTTATTGACAATTTTTAGTAGTGGGTGGGACTTTCGGATATTGGTCATTAAGGGTTCTTATAGTTGAAATTACAACGATGATTTTTCATGTCATTAGTCGTGGTTAGAGTCCATGTAGGAATATATGATGACGTACATTGTATTTATTTTGAGTATTATATTTGTAATTGGGTTTATTAGTTTTTCTTCTAAGCCCTCTCCGATTTATGGTGGGTTAGGGTTAATTGTGAGTGGTGGGGTTGGTTGTATAATTGTATTAAGTTATGGGGGATCTTTCTTGGGTTTAATAGTGTTTTTGATTTATTTAGGGGGGATAATGGTAGTCTTTGGTTATACTACAGCGATACCGACGGAGCAGTATCCGGACGTCTGGGTGTCTAATAAGACGGTACTAGGGGCTTTTACTTTTGGTTTGGTGGTGGAAATATTAATAGTTGTTTATGTATTGAAAGGGGAAGAGGTCGATTTTATTTTTAAGTTTAATGGAATAGGAGATTGAGTAATTTATGATACAGGGGATTCTGGATTTTTTAGTGAAGAGGCTATAGGAATTGCTGCTTTATACAGTTACGGTACTTGGTTGGTTATCATTACTGGATGGTCGTTACTTATTGGTGTAGTGGTTATTATAGAAATTACACGGGGTAATTAAATAAAATTATAATTAGGGTTAGTGTGATGAGAAATGAGAGGAAATAGAGTTTAATGAGTCCCTTTTGATCTGAGACTAATGTGGAGGCTTTTACTTGTATAAGGGCGAGGGTTTTTGGTAGAGCGGCCTCCAGTCAGACTAAATCTAGCAACACAGACGCTGATTTTTGGCTTATTAGTAGATTTAGATAGGGTACTAGACGGTGTATAATAATAGGGAAGAAGCCTAGAAGGTTGGAGAATTTGAATGATTTTGAGGGCTGAGTAAATTTTAGATTTTTTGTTATGGTGTTGATTTCTATTGCCAGGATAAAGCCTAGAATTGTGACTAAGAGGGCGGCAAGTTTTAGGTGTGATGGCATTGTTATTTGAGGGACTGTTATAGGGGGGATGTTGTAGGAGATAAAATATCCGGCGAAGATGCTTCCGATAAGAAGGCGTTTAATGGAGTTGATGAGGAGGGGGTTGTTCTCGTTAATTAAGATTAGTGGGGGGAAGCGAGGTTGGTTTAGGAGGGTATAGAAGATGATGCGTGTGCTGTAAATGGCTGTGAGGGATGTAGCGACTAAAGTAATAAAGAGGGCTCAGGCGTTGGTGTATGACGTATTGGCAGTTTCAATAATTATGTCCTTGGAGTAGAATCCTGTGAGAAAGGGGATTCCAGTCAAGGCTAGGCTTCCGATGATAAGAGCTGTGGTGGTAAAGGGTATTGTCTTGTAAAGACCTCCTATTTTTCGGATGTCTTGTTCGTCGTTTAGGCTGTGGATGATAGAGCCTGAGCATATAAATAGTATGGCTTTGAAGAAAGCGTGGGTGCAGATATGTAGAAATGCAAGGTGAGGCTGGTTAATGCCAATCGTTACTATTATAAGACCTAGTTGGCTTGAGGTGGAGAAGGCTACAATTTTTTTGATATCATTTTGAGTTAGGGCGCAGATTGCTGTAAATAGGGTGGTGATTGCGCCTAAACATAGCGTAAGTGTCTGGGCGGTCTTGTTGTTTTCTATCAGTGGGTAAAATCGGATGAGTAGGAATACCCCTGCTACGACTATTGTACTTGAGTGTAGTAGGGCGGAGACGGGAGTGGGGCCTTCTATCGCAGAGGGTAGTCAAGGGTGTAAGCCAAATTGGGCAGATTTTCCTGCTGCGGCTAGGAGGAGTCCCATTAGGGGTGCGGTGGGGCAGTCTTGTGTGAGAATAAAGATTTGTTGTATTTCTCATGTATTTAGGTTGGAAAGAAATCATGCTATGGATGCTACAAATCCAATGTCTCCAATGCGGTTATACAGGATTGCTTGCAGGGCTGCTGTATTTGCGTCTGTTCGGCCATATCATCACCCAATTAGTAAGAAAGACATGATCCCTACTCCCTCTCAGCCAATAAATAATTGAAATAAGTTATTGGCAGTTACTAGAATTAATATTGTGATGAGGAATAGAAGAAGATACTTAAAGAATTTATTGATATTGGGGTCTGAGTGCATATATCATATTGAGAATTCTACGATAGATCAAGTTACAAATAGTGCAATTGGTACAAATATTATTGAGAAGTAGTCTATTTTAAAACTAAGTGAAAGTTTTAGTGTGTGGATTGTGATTCAATGTCAGTTTGAGATAATGACTTCTTGGTTTAGGTGAATAAATATTATAGTTGGAATTAGACTTACAGTGAAGGCACATGCGATGGTATCTTTTACGTAGAGAGGGTATTGTTTGCTCTTATAGATGTCAGAAGTTGATATTATAATTGGTAGTGTGAGTAATAATAGTGTAAGTAGTGCGAGGGTAGTGAATATGTTTATTACTTTTATTTGGAGTTGCACCAATTTTTTGGCTCCTAAGGCCAACGGATTACTTCTATCCTTTAAAAGTTTGAAAAAGCCATGCTGTTAGGCATGGTGGCATGAGTTAGCAGTTCTTGCATACTTTTTCGGTAGGTAAAGAGTTTTGATCTCTTACTGCTAGATTCACAATCTAGTGTTCTTCTTAAACTATACTTACAGTATGTGAAGCCTATGATGACTTTAGGGTTGAGTGATAGCATTAGTAGGGGGAGCATATGTAAAGCTATGAGTGAGTTTTCTCGTGTGTAGGTGGGTTTAATATTGTTGATATGGTAGGTATGATTACCTCGTTGTGTTATGATGAGCATATATAATGAGTATAGGGCTGTGATTATCATGTTGGCTCCCATTAGGATAATTGTGATGTTAGATCAGGAGAATGAGGCTATAATTACGAACAGTTCTCCAAGTAGATTAATTGTAGGGGGCAGGGCCAGGTTAGTGAGACTTGCCAGTAATCATCATATTGCTATTAAAGGTAGTAGTGTTTGCAGGCCTCGCGCCAGAATTATTGTTCGACTGTGGGTACGTTCATAATTTGTATTTGCTAGACAGAAAAGTATAGAGGATGTGAGTCCGTGGGCGACTATGAGGGTGGTAGCCCCTATGTAGCTTCAGGGAGTTTGGATTAGGATAGCTACAATAACCAGGGCCATGTGACTAACTGAGGAGTAGGCAATAAGTGACTTTAGGTCAGTTTGGCGTAAGCAGATGGAGCTGGTCATGATTATGCCTCAGAGGGATAGTATTAGGAATGGATATGCTATATACTCTGTGAGGGGATTTAGTATAGCTGTGAGGCGTAGTATGCCGTAGCCTCCTAGTTTGAGCAGGACTGCGGCTAGGACTATGGACCCTGCAATTGGGGCTTCTACATGAGCCTTAGGCAGTCATAGATGCAAGCCGTATAGGGGTATTTTCACTATAAATGCTATTATGCATGCTAGTCATAGCAGTGCATTAGATCAGGAGTCTATTAGGGGTTGGTTTCAGTACTGCATAATTAGAAAATTTAAGGAGCCTACCGTGTTTTGGATATAGACAAGTGCAACTAGGAGGGGAAGAGATCCTGTTAGGGTATAAAATAAGAAATAGGAGCCTGCATTAAGTCGTTCTGTTTGATTACCCCATCGGGTGATGATAATTAGGGTAGGGACTAGGGTTGCCTCGAATAGGATGTAAAACATGATTAGTTCTGATGCAGTGAATGTTATGATTAGGAGAACTTGTAGTAGGATTAGTATAGTGATATATAGCTTTTTTCGTGTAAGGGGTTCTTTGGAAAGGTGAGACTGGCTGGCAATTAGTATTAGGGGTAGTAGCCATGTTGTTAGGACCAGTAGGGGTGCTGATAGAGCATCTGAGAAAAATAGGAGTGAGAAATTAGTGCTGTTGTCACTGTATTGGCTAAGTAGGGATAGACTAATAAGGCTAATTAGTAGGCTATACATTGTTGGATTAATTCAGATTATGCTATTTTTTGATAGTCAGGTCAGGGGGATTAGTATGATGGAGGGAAAGATAATTTTTAGCATTGTAGGAGGTTCAGGTTTTGTACGTAATCTGTGCCATACGTATTTGAGATTATTACTAGTAGGGCTAAACCCAGTGCGGCCTCACATGCCGCGAATACTAGGAGGATGATAGGTATCATGCTAGCCAGGGTAAAGTGGGTACTTAGAATTATTAGAGATGCTATTACAAAAAGGGAAAGTATTATGCCTTCTAGACATAGTAGAGAAGATATTAGGTGAGACCGGTATATTAGGAGGCCAATAAGGGATATAGTAAATGCTAGTATAATATTTATGTATACTATGGACATTTGATAATTATGAACTTAATCATAATCTAATGAGTCGAAATCATTAATTTTATTTAAACTAATTATCATATTCAGTTCATTCTAGTCCTTGTTGAGTTCACTCGTAGGCGAGACTAATTGCTAATAGTGAAATGAGAAGGAGGGCTATAATTAGTATAGTGTGTAAATAATTTGTTTGGGTTGCCCAGGGAAGTGGTAAGAGGAGGGCAATTTCTAGGTCAAATAGAAGGAATGTAATAGCAATCAGAAAAAATTTTATGGAAAAAGGTAGGCGGGCAGATCCTATGGGGTCGAAGCCACACTCATAAGGGCTTGTTTTTTCTGCGTAAACATTTAATTGGGGTAATCAAAATGCAATTAGTACGAGGAGTGATGCTAGGGTAGTGTTTGTAAGTAGAGCCAGTAGTAGATTGATTATCCTTTTTCCGGGTCTCTCCGAATCTAACTGATTGGAAGTCAGTTGTACTAATTAATACTAAAAGGACAGGAGCCTCATCAATAAATGGAGACGTAAAGGAATAGTCACACAACATCTACGAAATGTCAATATCAGGCAGCGGCTTCAAATCCGAAGTGGTGGCTAGATGTGAAGTGAAATTTTAATTGTCGTAAAAAGCAGACAGCAAGGAAAGTGGAGCCAATAATGACATGTAAGCCATGGAAGCCAGTGGCTACGAAAAAAGTGGAGCCGTAAACACTATCAGGGATTGTAAAAGGTGCTTCGTAGTACTCTGAAGCCTGTAGTAGTGTGAAATATAATCCTAGGGCAATTGTAATAAATAGGGCTTGTAGTATGTGAGTGCGATTCCCTTCTATTAAGCTGTGGTGGGCTCAGGTAATTGAGACTCCAGAGGCTAGTAGAACGGAGGTATTGAGGAGGGGGACTTCTAGCGGGTTTAGGGGGTGGATTCCGGTCGGGGGTCAGCATCCTCCTAGTTCTGGGGTAGGGGCGAGGCTTGAATGGTAGAAAGCTCAAAAGAATCCACTGAAAAATAGGACCTCGGATACGATAAATAGAACTATTCCGTATCGTAAACCTTTTTGGACGGAGGGGGTGTGGTGTCCTTGGAATGTGCTCTCTCGAATAATGTCTCGCCATCATTGATATATTGTTAGCATATTTGTAATTAAGCCTAGCGACAGTAGGAGGCTTGAATTGTAGTGGAATCACATAATTAGGCCGGATGTCATTAAAAGGGCTGAGAGGGCTCCTGTAAGGGGTCAAGGGCTAGGATTCACTATGTGGTATGCGTGGGTCTGGTGGGTCATTAAGTATTGTCATGTAGGTATAGGCTTACTAGTAGGGTGAAAACATAGGCTTGAATTATAGCTACGGCAAATTCGAGAATTGTAAGTAAAATTAGGACTACAAAGGTGATGAGGGCTGTTAGTGTACTAATATTTATTAGGGCTAGGGTAGCTCCTCCAATTAGGTGCATTAATAAATGGCCTGCTGTGATATTAGCTGTTAGTCGAACGGCCAGGGCTACGGGTTGAATGAACAGGCTGATAGTTTCGATAATTACTAGTATGGGGATTAGTGGTGTAGGTGTTCCTTGGGGGAGGAAATGTGCTAGTGATGCTTTCGTTTTATTGCGGAAGCCAGTAACTACAGTCCCAGCTCATAGAGGAACTGCTATGCCTAAGTTTATTGATAGTTGTGTGGTAGGGGTAAATGAGTGCGGAAGGAGTCCTAGAAGGTTAGTAGCCCCAATAAATATAATTAGAGATATTAGCATTAAGGACCAGGTCTGTCCTTTGTAATTATGAATAGTTATTATTTGCTTAGACGTGAGTCGAATTAGCCAATGTTGAAAAGAGATTAAGCGGTTATTAATTAGTCGGGTGGGGGTTGGGAATAATATACTTGGGAATATGACAACAAGGGTAACAATAGGAAGTCCTATTATTGTTGGGGTAATAAAAGAGGCAAATAAATTTTCTTTCATTTCGTTTCTCAGGGGGTGTTTTGTTTATGCGTTTTACTAAATTTGGGCTCTGGAGTTGGATAATAGATGTGTTTAGAGAGTTTTAGTTGAAATAGGATGAATAAGGTTATGAGTATTGATAGAATTGTGATGAATCACGTTGATGTGTCCAGTTGCGGCATGTCACTAAGGAGAGTTTATAGTTCTCATTCTTTAACTTAAAAGGTTAACGCTGACTAGCTTCTTAGTGAGCTTATAATATAGAGGCAGATCACTCCTCAAAATATTTTAGTGGTACCATCTCAAGGACAATTGGTATAAAGCTATGATTTGAGCCGCAAATTTCTGAACACTGTCCATAGAAAAGTCCAGGTCGTGTTGACATTAGTGTAACTTGATTTAGGCGTCCAGGGACTGCGTCTGTTTTTACTCCTAAGGAGGGGACTGCTCATGAGTGTAGTACATCTTCAGAGGTAACTAGTATTCGGATAGTGATTCCCATGGTAAGAACGACTCGGTTGTCCCACTCCAGTAGGCGTAGTTCACCTGGTTTTAGGTCTGATGTTGGGATTATATAGGAGTCGAAGCTGAGATCCTCATAATCAGTATATTCATAGCTTCAGTACCATTGATGGCCAATTGTTTTGACGGTTAGAACTGGGTTATTGATTTCATCTATCATGTAAAGGATCCGCAGCGATGGGAGGGCGATTGTAATTAGAATGATCGCAGGTAAGATGGTTCAAATGGTCTCGACTTCTTGGGCATCCATGGTGCTCGTGTGTGTTAATTTAGTTGTTAGCATCAGAGTAATGATATATAATACCAGAGAACTGATTAAAAATACTACTATTAAAGCGTGATCGTGGAAGTATAGTAGCTCTTCTATAATAGGGGATGTAGCATCTTGAAAACCTAGTTGAAATGGGTATGGCATAGAGGTATACAGGGTTTTCACCTATAATTTGACCTTGACAAGGTCATGTAAGTTTTACTAATACCTCTAGATCGAGAAAGTCATAGTGGCTATGGGGTTGGCTTGAAACCAATTAGAGAGGGTTCGATTCCTTCCTTTCTTATCTATTTTAGGTTAATGTAGGTTGGCTCTTCGAATGTGTGATGGGGTGGCGGACATCCGTGCAGTCACTCTAAATTGGTGGCTGTTAGCTCTACGGTTATAACTTCTCGTTTTGATGCAAATGCCTCTCATACAATAAAAACCATTAGGATAACTGCTGTTAAGGAGATGAAGGAGCCCACAGATGAGATAGTGTTTCATGTGGTGTAGGCATCTGGGTAGTCAGAGTAGCGTCGAGGTATTCCAGAGAGACCTAAAAAATGTTGTGGGAAGAAAGTTAGATTTACGCCTACAAATATAATTGCGAACTGAATTTTTGCCCATGTATCATCAATAGTGTATCCCGAGAATAATGGGAATCAGTGGATTAGTCCTCCTATGATGGCAAATACTGCCCCTATTGACAAGACATAGTGGAAGTGGGCAACTACATAATATGTGTCGTGAAGAACAATATCTAATGATGAATTGGCTAGTACAATTCCTGTTAGACCTCCTACGGTGAACAGGAAGATAAAGCCTAGAGCTCATAGTATAGCGGGGGATCATTTAATGTTGCCTCCGTGGAGTGTTGCTAGTCAACTAAATACTTTTACTCCCGTTGGGATTGCAATGATTATTGTGGCGGATGTAAAATAAGCGCGTGTATCTACGTCTATACCTACGGTAAATATGTGGTGGGCTCACACAATAAAGCCTAGGAAGCCAATGGATATCATAGCTCAGACTATTCCCATGTAGCCGAAGGGTTCCTTTTTTCCAGAGTAATAAGTGACGATGTGGGAGATTATTCCAAAGCCAGGTAAAATTAGAATATAGACTTCTGGGTGGCCGAAGAATCAGAATAGATGTTGGTACAGGATGGGGTCTCCTCCTCCTGCAGGATCAAAGAAAGTTGTATTTAAGTTACGATCTGTTAGTAGTATAGTAATACCGGCCGCTAGTACTGGCAGGGAGAGTAGTAAGAGGACAGCGGTGATTAAGACGGATCAGACGAACAGGGGAGTCTGATATTGGGATATGGCGGGTGGTTTTATGTTGATGATAGTAGTAATAAAATTAATGGCCCCTAGGATTGAAGATACTCCTGCTAGGTGTAAAGAGAAAATAGTTAGGTCAACAGAAGCACCTGCATGGGCCAGGTTTCCGGCTAGGGGAGGGTAAACAGTTCAACCAGTGCCTGCCCCGGCTTCAACTATGGATGATGCTAGAAGTAATAGGAATGAGGGGGGTAGCAGCCAGAAGCTCATGTTGTTCATACGGGGGAATGCCATGTCTGGTGCGCCAATCATTAAAGGAACTAGTCAATTTCCGAAGCCCCCGATCATGATTGGTATAACTATAAAGAAAATTATAACAAATGCGTGGGCCGTAACAACTACGTTGTAGATTTGGTCATCTCCGAGTAGCGTTCCGGGCTGTCCTAATTCGGCTCGAATTAGTAGACTTAGCCCTGTTCCTACTATCCCAGCCCAAGCGCCGAATAGCAGATAGAGGGTACCGATATCTTTGTGGTTTGTTGAAAATAATCAGCGGTTTATGAACATAGGTAAGATGGCCGAGTAGGCATTAGACTGTAAATCTAAAGACAGAGGTGACAACCCTCTTCTTATCAAGTCCTGTGGTGATTAACACATTGAATTGCAAGTTCAAAGAAGCAGCTTCAAACTCTGCCGGGGTTCTCCGCCTTTTTTTTTCTCACGGCGGAGAAGTAGATTGAAGCCAGTTGACTAGGGTATTTAGCTGTTAACTAAAATTTCGTGGGATACAGGCCCACCAATCTAGGAAGGGCTTAGCTTAATTAAAGTAGTTGATTTGCATTCAATTGATGTAGGATAGAGTCTTGCAGTCCTTATTAGGCAGGAATTAAGTATTTGTACTTGCTTAGAGCTTTGAAGGCTCTTGGTCTAGTTAACCTAAATCCCTAGTATAGTACTGATATTATAGGGGTGAGAGGTAGTATTATAGTAGATAGAACTACTATAATTGGCAGCGATGGTATTCGTTTTGTATTTTCAAACTGTCATTTTATTTTTATGTTATTAGATGAGGGGAATATGGTGAGTGCTGTGGAGTATGTTAGTCGCATATAAAAGTATAGGTTTAATAGTGCTATTATGGCTATTATAGTTGGAAGAATGATGCTGTCATTTTTTGTTAATTCTTGGATGATTATTCATTTGGGTGCAAATCCAGATAGGGGAGGGAGGCCTCCTATGGACATTATAACAGTGAGAATTAGTGTTGTAATGACGGGTGTTTTGTTTCAGGTTTGTGATAGAGAAAGGAGTGTAGTAGTGGAGTTGATTATAAATAGTATAAATATTGTGATTGTTATTGTGAGATATATTAGTAGGTACAGTACTGTTATAGTGGGGTTGTAGACTATTACTGCGGTCATTCAGCCTATGTGTCCAATTGATGAGTAGGCTATAATTTTTCGTAGTTGCGTTTGATTAAGCCCCCCTCAGCCTCCAATTATAATTGATAGGACAGATATAGTTAATAGTATGTTTGAGTTAATGGATGGGGCAATTTGGTAGAGCACGGAAAGGGGAGCTAGTTTTTGTCAGGTCAATAGGATCAGTCCTGATGCTAAGGGAATGCCTTGTGTGACTTCTGGTACTCAGAAGTGGAATGGGGCCAGTCCCAGTTTTATGGTTAGGGCGGTAGTGATTATGATGGATGAGGTTTGGTTGAAGATTTTTGTGGTAGTTCATTGACCTGAATATAGTAAGTTAATAATTACCCCTAGCATGAGTAGTATTGATGCGGTAGCTTGGGTAAGGAAATACTTAGTGGAGGCTTCTATGGATCGGGGGCTGAAATTTTTTATTAGGACTGGAATGGTGGCAAGCATGTTTATTTCGAAGCCAATTCAGATAAATAATCAGTGAGAGCTAATTATGACAATTAAAGTTCCTGCTATAATTGTGAGTAAGATAATGCTAAAGATTAGGGGATTTATTAGTACGGGAAGGGTATAAACCAACATTTTCGGGGTATGGGCCCGATAGCTTATTTAGCTGACCTTACTATAGAACATGGTGTAGTGTGGTAGCACGAAGAATTTTGAATTCTTAGGGGTAGGTTCAACTCCTGCAGTTCTAGAAATAAGAGGGCTAAACCTCTATTATTTACTCTATCAAAGTAATTCTTTTGTCAGACATATTTCTTATGTTTGGGGGGGCGGAATACCTGCTGTTGAGATGGGTAATGAGACATGTCATATGCATAGGGCTAAGGTTAGGGGGAGAAAATTTTTTCATAGTAGGTGTATTAGTTGATCGTATCGAAATCGGGGGTAGGATGCTCGGATTCATAGAAAGGTTACGGTTAATAGTAGCGTTTTAAGGACAAAGTTGGCTGTGTATAGTTCTGGTATATAGGGATTATGAAAGGCTCCGAAGAATAAAATAGTTGTAAAAGCATTTATTATAATAATGTTAGCGTATTCTGCCATAAAAAATATGGCGAAAGGGCCAGCTGCATATTCTACGTTAAAGCCCGATACTAATTCTGACTCTCCTTCGGTAAGGTCGAATGGGGCCCGGTTGGTTTCGGCTAGTGTGGAGATAAATCATATTATGGCTAGAGGTCAGGCTGGGATAATTATTCATATATGCTCTTGTGTTGTGATGAGTGTTGAAAGAGTAAAGGATCCATTTATTAGAAGCACGGAGAGTAGGATAATGGCTAGTGTAACTTCATATGAGATAGTTTGAGCAACAGCTCGGAGAGCACCAATTAGTGCATATTTTGAATTGGAGGCTCAGCCAGATCATAGGATAGAGTAGACAGCTAAGCTGGACATAGCTAGTATAAATAGTACACCTAAGTTTATGTCAACAAGGGGCTGTGGCATTGAGAGGGGGATCCATATGGTTAGAGCTAGGGTTAGAGCTAGGATGGGGGCGAGGATAAATATGGTGATAGAAGAGGTGGCGGGGCGTAGTGGTTCTTTAGTAAATAGTTTGATAGCGTCCGCAATTGGTTGTAGTAGACCGTAGGGTCCTACGACATTAGGGCCTTTTCGGAGTTGTATATAGCCTAGGACTTTTCGTTCTACTAGGGTGAGAAATGCTACTGCTAAGAGGATAGGGACAATAAGTGTAAGGATATTAATTATGAACATGTATGTTAGGGAGGGGAATTGAACCTCTGGGTGTAAAATCTTAAGTTTTATGCAATTACCGGTCTCTGCCACCCTAACAAACCCTGATCTAGGGCTGTGTTTTTTTGAACTAGTTAAGTTAAGATTATATCATTAATTAGGTCTAAGGCGCCCCTGTAGGGTAGGCCTTATTTCTCTTGTCCTTTCGTACTGGGAGAAATTGACAAATAGATAGAAACCGACCTGGATTGCTCCGGTCTGAACTCAGATCACGTAGGACTTTAATCGTTGAACAAACGAACCTTTAATAGCGGCTGCACCATTGGGATGTCCTGATCCAACATCGAGGTCGTAAACCCTATTGTCGATATGGACTCTTGAATAGGATTGCGCTGTTATCCCTAGGGTAACTTGTTCCGTTGATCAAATAACTTTGGATCAATAAGTGACACTACATTTTGATCGGCAGATCTAAATTTTAGTCACTCGGAGGTTTTCTGTTCTCCGAGGTCACCCCAACCGAAATTGTTAGCCCAGGTAGAGTGTTGTTATCCCTTGTGGTTAATTGTATTTCTTTGGGCTAGTTAATTGAAGCTCCATAGGGTCTTCTCGTCTTATTTGTTCACCCCGCCTCTGCACGGGGAGGTCAATTTCACTGATTGGAAGCAAGAGACAGTAGAACCCTCGTGTGGCCGTTCATGCAAGCCTTATTAGAGAACAATGATTATGGCTACCTTTGCACTGGTCAGGATACCGCGGCCGTTTAACTAATGTCACTGGGCAGGCAGTGCTCTAATACTAGTAATGCTAGAGGTGATGTTTTTGGTAAACAGGCGGGGCTCGTGTTTGCCGAGTTCCTTTTGCTTCTTTTAATCTTTCCTTAATGCATGCCTGTGTTGGGTTAACAGTAAATTTAATAAATTGTTCATTGGTGGGTTAAATTTATTAAGTGTTAACTGTCAGTAGAATATCCGTTGCTGACATAAGCTTATGCAGGGAGAAATATTTCTTGTTACTCATATTAACATTATTGCTTCTATTAATTAATAGATTAGTCCAGTATTGGGTTAGGAGTTCCTTGTTGACTATTGGAATTAAAACTTTGTTTAATGTTGAGCTTGAACGCTTTCTTAATTGATGGCTGCTTTTAAGCCAACTATGGTGTTGGTTGTTTTTACTCTCTAAGTAAGGTTGTATCCTCGGTCTAAAAAGCTGTACCCTTTTAGACTAGCTTTTAAAAATACATTAAAATTAGCGGTTTTTTAGGTATTTTTAAAGTTGAACTTACATTCTTTTCCTGGACAACCAGCTATCACCAGGCTCGTTAGGCTTGTCACCTCTACTTGCAAATCTTCTCACTATTTTGCCACATAGACGAGTTCGCTCCGTAGGCTGTTCACAAGTAGCTCGTCTGGTTTCGGGGCATTTAACTTAAGTTCTCTTTGCTAAAATTTTCTAGTTAAATCATTATGCAAAAGGTACAAGGGTTAATCTTTGCTTTTTATTACTTTTAGGTATTCTTTCATCGTTCCCTTACGGTACTCTCTCTATAGCGCCAATAAATAAATTTCTATCTCCTATACTTTAAAAGAGTGAATAAATGTTTTGTTTAATAGTTTTAAAATAGTTAAATATGGTGGTTTCTGGGCTAGCTTTAGTTCAACACGTTCATTTTTATGAAATCTCCTAGGCGTAAACTAGGTTGCTTTTCTTAAGCTACGTTTTGTTTATCCAAGCACACTTTCCAGTATGCTTACCTTGTTACGACTTGTCTCTTCTCATATATTTGACACTTATTATGTTTGCTTACGGGCCTGTTATACTTGAAGAGGGTGACGGGCGGTGTGTGCGTGCTTCATGGCCTAGTTCAATTAAGCACTCTATTCTTAATTTACTGCTAAATCCTCCTTTGGCCCTTAGTTTCATAGGGGCTTTCGTAAGGGTTTTGAGATTTTCTTGGGATAAGAAAATGTAGCCCATTTCTTCCCATCCCATTGGTTACACCTTGACCTAACGTTTTTATGTTTAAATAGTTGAGCTTACTTTTGTTCCCTATAGGGGTTTGCTGGAGATGGCGGTATATAGACTGAATTAGCAAGGGCTGGTGAGGTTGATCGGGGTGTATCGATTATAGAACAGGCTCCTCTAGGGGGTATGAAGCACCGCCAAGTCCTTTGAGTTTTAAGCTGTTGCTAGTAGTACTCTGGCGAGCGATTTTGTTATTGTAATCACTTAAATTTAGGGCTAAGCATAGTGGGGTATCTAATCCCAGTTTGGGTCTTAGCTGTCGTGTAGTGGATTGCATTAGGGTCACTTTCGTAGTTTATTTTTACGCTGGCCATAGCTTTTTACATCTTGGCCAGGGCTTAACTCTATTTACTAGTCTCTCGTTAACACGCTTTACGCCGGGTTTCTATTAATTCGGGTTAATCGTATGACCGCGGTGGCTGGCACGAAATTTACCAACCCTTAAGTAATATAACTTAGTCAAACTTTCGTTTATAACTTAATTTTTGTCACTGCTGTATCCCGTGGGGGTGTGGCCAAGCAAGGCGTCGTTAGCTACGGGGTTGTGTGCTTGATGCCCGCTCCTTCTGTTCAACTAGGACTTAGGGGGCATTCTCACTGGGATGCGGATACTTGCATGTGTAAATTTATCAGAAACTAATAGAAAGGCTGGGATCAAACCTGTGTGTTTATGGGGCCGTGAGCCATCTAGGCATTTTCAGCGCCTTGCTTTAAGTTAAGCTACATTAAC